TAAGAAATTGAGCGACACAGTGATCCACCTCAAGCCATATCCTCGACAACCGTTCGCGAACAGATGGAAAGAATTGGTAAAGATGGCGCCCCTTGGATGATTCATCCCAGCGTTGTTGCCATTCGTCTATGAGGTCGTTATAGACATCGGGCTGCTGTTGAAGCAATCTTGTAATTTTACCGCGATCCCGCGCGCCTAAAAAATCGCATTCCATGTTTTGTTGTCTTGAATAGTACATGGCTGCACGTCTCTGCACCTCGAGATCGACCGGAAGCACACCCGCCAACACCGGCAAAGCCTCAGTGCTAACCGTCCTATATGCCTTACACAAGAATATCAGTGCAAGTCGTTGGCCTTGTAACAGTTTGCGACGGACAGCGCCTACGGTCGCCCTATCGGCCCATACAGGTGCACCATAGCACATAGAACCTAAATAAGTAGCTCCGTATATGATCTTTAATGTATTAAATGATAGACCCCATGTCGCAGTTGATATCCTTGTCAATGCACAGAAACTCTTTTTAGACTTTTCATTAACTATTTTAATATGTTCGATAAATGAAAAGTTTCTTTCTAAAACTAATCCTAGATAACACACTGTGGTTTTATTTTTTACAGTAACATTGTTAAATCTAATGCTCGGCGGTGATTTGAGGTTACCTTTTAAAAGTAGCTGGAAGGTTTTGTTGGGTGCAAAAGTTAAGCGATTACGTTCACCCCATTGAGATATCAAGTTCAAACATCTATTGGCTAATCTCTCAAGCCCCGCCCTAGTATCAGATTCCACCAGTAATAAGCCGTCATCAGCATACGCGTTCAGAGTACATCCGGATGGTATTGGTATCGCAAGAAAATCGTCGAAGCCGATATTCCACAAGTATGGACCTAGCACCGATCCCTGAGGACATCCCATTGTAAGCGCCTTCGACACAGAATGATGACCAAGTCTTAGTTTAGTTGTACCTTGTGAAAAGTACGAAGAGATAAGGGAATAAATATTTTTAAAGCACCCCCGTGATTTTAATTTCAGCAACAGCATGGACCACCATGCGTTTGGCCGACTGTACGAAGCTGGCCAGATGGGTTGGTATAGGGTTTGTGTCAAGTTTTACTTCTCTTTGCAGTGTTGTTGTCCTGCGTAGTTTGCTCCCTCAGTCGGCCGGGATGATTGGGGTGGTTACAATCCGTATTCCTAATCCGTCACCACACGGATTTATATTACTAATAAATAATAATACGTAATACTCTGTAAATTTCCTGCATGTACCTATTCTCAGCTGTAAAGAACTCTAATAAATAAATAGCTCTTTGAAATATAAAAAATAATTAAAAGTTTAAATGATTATGCTCAAACTTCAACCAGGAGGCAATCAGTAGTTGATGAAATGTTCTGTGTATTTATAGGAACGTATTTCAGTAACTTGCCAACAAAACCTCTTAGATCGCAATCTGAAGATGCCACATTCTCAATACACAGCCGTGATGGTAAACTCAAGAGGGTAAGAGTGTCTACCTATAGAAACTCCAATCCCTTGGCTGGCCATGAAGTGGCACTTTACCCTCCTTATTATTCAAACACATTGGTCCGCAATCTTCTGAGTAGTGAAAACCCCGTTTTAATCACAAAGATAAATAACCGTTTTAATGAAAATGTATTTTAGAGTTTCTTCAGAGGTTTATTCGGGTATGATCCTTAAATTGGATTCATCGCTAATTACATATGATAGCCTAATAACTAAATCCAAAATTTGTTAAAAATATTTCAGAGTTTAGTCAATAAAAAGTTTTTAAAGTAAAAATTTAGAGTGTTACTGTTATAAGAATGGTTGGGTCATGTTTTAACTAGACCAAAAGAAATGGATGTCGAATTAAATTTTCTTTTCTTGATTTGACTGCTCAATCGCACATTTTATCAGCGTCCTTAATCGTTAAATACCTATGGTTAACTTTTTCTTCTTTGACAGTTTCCAAATTACATTTTTGTACCTCTATAGAAATACATATATCACGAAGTATCTTAAACCTGTTACCGTTTAACGACTTTAAGAGAATCTATTATACGAACTGGAATATAACCCGCTTTTGACGGGACTGTTGGTATAATGGCTAGTGATTGTGAACTGCTAAGCCAGAGGCTGTGAGTTCGATGCCAACCCATGTTAAATAATAGTGTGACAAGCACGATCAATTTGTTCTGTCACATCAAATCACATCAACAGCCTTTAATAGTCCACTGCTGGACATAGGCCTCTCCTTAGAAAGGAGGTTTTGGCCTACTATTACTAATTTGTTATGTGTCTGGGTGTAATTTATCTATAATATGTATGTATTACAGATAATTAAATATGTTTATCAGCAGTCTAGTTACTATAGGTTCTGCCTAGATCAGGATCAAACAGCGTGTCAAGTTCAAGTATCAAACGTGAGGGCGTACTTTGTGTCCGTTTCCATGTATAAAGTAAAGTAAAAGTAAAAAGTAAAAAAGTAAAGTAAAAAAGTAAAGTCCCCACGACACATGATTTATTCCTAGTGCGGAAGTTGTCTTTTTAAACAAATAGAAAAAAAATGTTATTATTATTATTAAAGTACGTTTTTTAAACTAAAAACATTAAGGGACTGTTTGTTTCAATTATAACAAGAGATTAAAACATGTAAAATAAAAATGTTCAGAAAATAACCCACATTATTTTTGGATCAAATTGGATTTTTAGCACAAAGCCCTCATAATTGGACGAACCCTCATCTGTTTGGACTTACAGTAAAATTGTAGCGTTATGTTGTTCCATTTCAATTTCACTTTCTTACCAACTCATTGTTGGTAACTATGTCATAACTTTTAAAATTATAGTTCACTGGTACACACATATAATTCATTATGTTATTTTTCTCGTTTTCATATCTGTTTTTGTGATAATTAAAATATCATTTTCATAATAAATTTTGAACTCTTGATCTCCTAGTCAACATAACTAATTAGCTGACTTCCTGTAGTCAGTTAAAGGGGATTCCTTCCTATCTTCTTTTCCTTTCTGTTACTAAGCGGCTCTGCTTGGCATATATCTCTATATACACGCTGTAGCTTGCAAACATAGAACTTTTTGAAAAAATTGTTTGATTTTCCTTCTTTTCTTGTTCTACTTCAATAACTATGATTTCTATTTTATACTAGCTGGTACCCGCGACTTCGTTCGCGTGGAATTTGAAAAGCGCTGCCTTAGTGGGTTCGATGCCCAGACCGAGCCTAATTTTAAAGGGGTTTTCTGAGAGGAAAAATATTATTCCTTATGTAGACAGCTACCTGGTTGTAAAATATTATCGAAATCGATATAGCCGTTTAGAAGATTACCCGGAACAAACAGACAGACAGACGGACAAACAAAAAAAATTAAACTGGTTTTTAGGCATAGATATTGTGCAAATAACCGTGTCAGCATGAAAAAAACCTATAATTTGACATTACAAACAGAAATTTCAATTTTATCTATTTGTACAATAAAAACATATTTGTTATTATATATCTACAGTTTCATTCCCATCAGCCATCTCCTTTATAATTCAACGAAGTAAAGAGCAATTTGTCAGTTTCAAATTTTTCAGACTTAAGTATTAAATCACAAATGTCCAGAATTGCCAGGTGCAGGGTTAAGGGGTCTTACGCGTCCCTAATAAAGACGGAAAACTTGACACAAACCCTATACCAACCCGCCTGGCCAGCGTGGTATAGTAGGCCAAAACCTTCTTTCTAAGGAGAGGCCTATGTCCAGCAGTGGACTATTAAAGGCTGTTGATGTGATTGATGTGACGCGTCCCTAATCCCAAATCGCTCTGTAACACTCCTTGTGTACTTATAGTAGGCATAAAGGTGTCAGATAATTGTAATTCTAAATAACGAAAAAAGTTATTACGCCCTCGCGTCTTGCCTTCTTAATCGATCATCATAAAATATTACATATCAGATACCATGTTATTTGAGGTACAGAAAAGCACTATAGCAGTAAAGTATCTACTATTCCTGAGAGATATCTAAGTGGATTAAAAAACATTAACGCAATCGAAGTTGAAAGCAAAAGCTAGTAATTAAGTAATTACAATTTGTTGTTTAGAGAAACAGTTTCTGAATCGATTTGGGTTTTTTATCGTCCAAAACATTACCAGTAGAATCTTAAACGAAATTAATTTATCTAATAAGTTGCAGACTATTATTGTATATGGTAATAATTTGTAACAAGTTGTTCAACATTGTTTTAGTAGCATCTATCTTAATCTATCTTCCAATAATCAAGAATATAATAAATATTTTTTGTCACATTTTTAATTATTTATTTTCCAAGTTTTCAAAAAATACAAGTATTCTAGTGGATCCGCCAAAAATTGTCTCACGCGAACAAAGAAGTTTGTCTTCGTTTTATAATTAATTTAACAATACAACAAACAAATAAAAATGTGTAAGAAAAAGTGAATTTATTCTTTTGTTTGACATATATGACTGGGTCGGTGGTGCAGTTGTAGCGTATTCTACTGCTGTGCTGACCAACTATTTGTATGCTCTGCAAGTATTTGCTTCGGAGTTTGGGTGTGTATGTATTTACAAATAACAAAAATGGTAATAAATGTTAAGCAAACTAAACAGAACTGCAAAGAGAAGGAAAACTTAAAACAAACCCTAAACCAACCCGACTGGTTAGCGTGGTATAGTAGGAAAAAAACCCTTATTCTAAGAAGAGACTTATGTCCAGCAGTGGACTGTTAAAGGCTGTTCTTAATGATGAAATTTCACATGTCTTAACATGACACATTACAAACAACTTCTATGGTACTTCAAATTTCAGTAGTTGAAATGTATACTTATCTTCATCATCATCATCATCATCAGCCTATCGCAGTCCACTGCTGGACATAGGCCTCTCCCATTGCACGCCACTTATCATACTTATCTTACTTGAATGAATCCTACAGCGTGCGTTTTTTTTATATAAAATATACTGTTTTCTTGAACTCACCTAGAATTCCTAGCCTGTAGTTGATGGTCACCACTACCAGGCCCGCATGTGACGCAAGGACGGTACCATCATAAGGATTTCCGGAACTCCACTCATAACTTTCTCCATGGACGAAAACCAGAACTGGATACCGCGCAACTGCGTCTCTTACACCTGCTGGAGGAATGGTGAATATTAGATCTATTGGTCATAGTAACCTTATTGTTAGATAATAATATAATAAAGGGGGAGAGCCGCGTTTCGACACAAATGAGCCGGTTCGACCGGAGTGAACACAAGAAAGCGGTTTTAAATAACTCCTTCGCTGCTTTTCTTCGAAAAGTGAGGTCACCAGACCCCATACTCAAAGGCTTGCAAGGCTCTTATCACTCTTAAGTTGCAGATGTCCATGAACGGCCTTAGTCAGTTACTTTCAGACAAAAAGAACCAAAAAATAATAATAATACACTTATTTAACTGCATCAATAAATTACAGATGTAACTAATTAAATTATCGTAAAACTATAACAAAACTGTTGTTTAATCAACAATTAATCTATTAGTTCTATAACATAACAATATATCTAGTGAAACAAAACCGTAATACCACAGACAAAGGAGAAGAAACACTTCGTTTAGTGAGATACGTATATATTAATATATTTATCTGCCATAACAAGAACCCTCGAAACAAATACCACTTAATCAACAATAGAGAAAGAACGATAACAGATAATCACCAAAGTTATCCAAGAGAGCAATATAGGCGAGGTCATAACTGAACTAATACGTTATACCGTAACAGAAGGACTGACAAGAAATGTTGTACCATACATTACTTTTATAGCCGTCTTGAAACCAATAAATGTGGTGATGATAGCAGTAATGGATGCTGAGGCAATGGCAAAATTCGCACCCAATATAACTGATATGAATAAAAGTGTTGTAATGGAAAAAAATAACGAATTGAACAAGTAATGATCAATGGCACTAAGTTAGTGCAAACTTCTAACATAAATCTATTATAATTGCTACAAATTAACGGGAATTAACACAATTAATAGGTATTACATTACTTTGAATCGCCCGACGTTTTGCTTATCTTGCCACGTCCACAGGCCATGGCCATAGGTAAAAAAATGTGCAAAGAACAAAGTATAGTCGTAAGCAATGTACAGGACTACAATCGAATATTTTTAGGTACTGGACACAGAAATTGACATAATAGCCTATTTTACAGTTATTTTTATTATCCTTTTTGCATTCTACACTTATGAATGATCAAAAACTTGGAAACAATCAAAGGCACGTCAGATTCGTTCAGAAACTAATTAGACTATTGACATGACAATTGTTCAACCTTTTATTGTCCTTGGATGCTGGAAACGGCAAACAACTTGACACCAATGACGGTGTTGGTAAGGGAGGTCCTGTTGCAGAAAAAGGAAGAAAAAAGGAACACGGAGGAATAGCTGCAGCCAACGGCTAGGAGGAGTCTTAGTACCGCGAAGGCTAGCGCCATCCCGCGGTTCTAACAGAAAATACCCAATAAAATCAAACATTTCCTTCCATTAGAACAGAAAAATATTATTATTTGCTATTGTTATTTTTAGGATTACTTCATAGTATTTACTTGCCTAAATTAATTATTACTTTTATGAAATGTTCTTTTGCATTCCCAATCTACCAGTGAATTATATATCTTAATTTTTATTTTCCTACTTGATTGCAAAGGTGTATACGAACTTCTAATATTTCGGTTATCTATAAATTTTTCATCCTCTTCAAGGTGACGGGTGACAGACTTTCAAGTGCCTGTTGGTCTAATGGTTAGTAACCCTGACTGCTAAGCCTGAGATCGTAGATTCGATCCTCAGCGTTGACAAACAATTGTGTGATGAGCAAAATCTATTATCTTGTGCTATGTCTGGGATTTAGAAATATTCACGTATGCTCATTATTAGTCTAGTTACCATAGCACAGGCTCTGCCTAATTTAGGGTCAGACAGCAGTGGATCAGATGTGTGAAGTTATTGTTATTATATTTATTGTGCCATTCGGTATTACTACAATGGCGACTATTACTACCACATACGAAGAAACAGAAACATACTACAGCGCCATCTAATGAAGACACACCGAACTAAGGAGTAACTACTGAATGAGAATTGCTAATCCTGTATCGCGATATGAAGAATTCTCTCGCCGATTAGCATATATACAACTTCCCAAAGCTCGGCTGGTCGGAGGATCCTCCCTTTGTGTTGGAGGGACACGACATCCTTTCCTCCACACTACCTGTATACGCTATCAGCAAAAGGACTTTTCCATTTGAGTTTGACCGACACGATTTACGACCCACACGACTTTTATTTAAAAATTCTTTAGTAAAATCTTCTTAGAGTATAATTGGCCTTGCCTTGTTGAAGATCTGTAATCTAATTATGTAGCACTTTTGTACAAATGACCTAATTTAATTTTTCTTTATTCCCACTTTGAATTTCTTTTGTTAGTTTTTAATTTAGATAGTACTAGTCATTTTAGACTTTGGGATGATGGTGTAAGAACTATTTTTGCTTGTGAAGAGATGACACATTTAATCGCAAGTGACGAATGTGGGGCATGTTGGAAATACTTGGAAATGAGTTATGCTTTTGAACTAAATTTGAACGTAGGCGTTTTACCGAGAGGATGTTCAAAAAGAGACCATAATAAAAATTACGTATAAAATGTTACTTACTAGGATATGTAGGGCAGGGAATTCAGGTAAAACGCTTTAATGACAATTATAATAATGAACATATAAATGAGGGATATCGTGCAATGAATCCGATACATCATATGAATCTTTAAATATATTTCCCTATAGTAAATTCCCGTCTTCAAAATTTTTTACAAAGCACAACAATTGATAAAAGAATACCGCATTTAAAAATTCACGAGGAATAACAATACCGCACACTATCTGCCATCTTTCCATTCAAATTGTCGGGTGGAAATAAGAAAAAAAGAATAGCTGTCTATCGGATTCGACGGGAATTTCCAGCGAAGATTCGAGATATCTCTCCTCTCCCTTCCTTCGCCTTATCTCAGTCATGATGGATCGGGAAGAAAGGGATAAATCAAGTTTTTGTTCGGAATAATATGTGTGGTTCAAGCGAGGGAAGTTAATCTGTTTTACTTTTACATTTAGAAATTGCAGTCTAAATGCTTTGAAATTTGATTTTTGACGTATTTCAGAATGTAATTTTTTTTGTTAAGAGATTTTTTTGATTAAGACGAAATGTTGTTTTCCCAATCTATCTATTTCCTAGTGTCCAGTTGCTTTCAATAGGCTTGTCCTTATTTAAGTAAAAATAACATTATAGTAAGCAAAATGTGAGCGTTCAATACGGCTTAGTCTAATTTTTTGGAATATTTTTTCGGACCTGCCTCGGTTTTCCAGTGGTAGCGTACGCGATTGCTGTACTGAGGTCTCTGGTCGGATCAAAATGTTTATATGATCTGCAAATACTTATTTCGGACTTGTTTTCTACGTATGTATTTACACAAAGGATCATGTTAGCCAATCTAGCTATCATAGTACAAGCTCTGCTTAGTTTGAAACTAGGTACCGTTGTGTGTCAGATATCCAAAAATATTATTACGAGTAAATATAAGCTTGAGTGTATAAAATATTTATGTAAGATTTAATTATTGCTAGTTAAGTCTTGAAAGCGTAATAAACAAACAAGCTCACATTTCTGTGTATAAATTTAATTAGGATTTTATATCTTTCTCTTTATAGTATATATTATAAGCTTAGTTAAAATATTACATTAATAAATTACTAGAACATGTTTTGTTAATATGAGAATTAGTACTAGACTTAGTAGATTTTGAAACAATTACATTTAAAACAATTAACATATTATTGAGACTATAAAGTTTGTTACTTAGACCGTTACATTTGGGAGTTTCATAAACACTGGTTGGGTGCACACCAGGCTATCTTGCAAATTTGCCCGGTAATGAGGGTACGATGGATATGTTGGTACATACTGCCGTATATACATTCAGTGTTAACGATCTACAGGAAATTCATTTAGGGCATGTTTAGGCAAAATCGGTTTGACGGGTTTCAAGATCGACATAAAATTCTGCTTAACATGTGAAATATACTCAATTTAGTGAGTAGTTGGGTTATTCAAGTTTATCATCAGTTTATTGCCTTCTTTCTAAATTGATTCGGGGTCCGTGCAATGAGTTTTTTTCTTCGATTCTCCTCTATCATTCGTCAGATCACTTCTTATTCTATTTCAAGCCATACTCTTTTACACAGACCACCCATTTTCCATTGGGCGTTCTCTACTCTCATGAACGTCAACTGCCATACACAAAACTTCCTTCACCACATTTTAATAAGCTTTACAAATCACAGTTATTACTATAATTTTCAAATGTACCGTAAAGCGTCTAATATACTAGTTTTCGCTCGCGACACCGCTTGTGTGATAAGAAACAGTTACACTTTTTGAATTTAAAACTACTCTATATCTTTCTCTATCTCTGACATATGCAAATTTCATGACCATTGTCAGAGAAGAAAAAATTGCAGGGCAATAAATAAGCGAATTTAAAGCAGCATTTAAATTTAGTTTACAATATTGAAAATTGTTAAGATTTTGTGTTGTAATATCCACCTATTGAAATACAATTTGCATTCGTCAAGTCAGTCAAGAAAAATTTAAAAAAATCATGACAGTATAATATAAAAAAAATCAGCATCACATTAGCGTTAGCTTTGTTAGTTTAAAAATAATAATCAGGTAACTTATAAATCCATTTTACCCGTGGTCAGACCGCTACACCCCACTGGTGCGTAGACGGGGCCACACTTCTTGTACTTACTCATAAAATGTCGTACAAAACACAAAATCTTTGTAAAATTCTTGGATGAAATTCTTATTATTCAAAACAGGTAGTAATATATACTACGGAACGCTTCATTACGCATAGCTTGACACACACTTGACCGTTTTTCTCTCTTAGATCCTCACGAATACCACAAAATTGTCGAGTTGTAAGTCAATACAACTGCGTAACTTTGATGGGGGATATAAATCAAAGCCGGGAGTTTTGTTGCAATAAATCCGTATTTGGGTCACAATTGTATACGTTCTGCTGTATACAGTTGATGATCTAAAAATGTTTGTAATAAA